TGGATATATACTCAGTAGAGGCATTGCCACATCATCTGTTTAGCTGTATTTTTAACTTTTTAACAAATTTCTATACTGTTTTCCATAATGGCTATACTAATTTATGTATCTATCAACAGTGTGGAAGAGTCAACTTTCCTTCACATACATCTTCCCCAACACTTGGTATTTTTTGTATTTTTGATGATACCCATCCTAACTGAAGTGAGGTGATTATCTCATTGTGGTTTAAATTTGTATGGTAAGTTCTATTTCATATAACTGTTGGCCATTTAAATTGTCTGTTGAAGTCTTTTGTCCATTTTTAATCATGATTGGTTTTCTGTTGAGTTGCTTATATATTCTGGATATTAACCCCATCAGATGTATAGTTTACAAATATTTTCCCATATCCTACAGGTTGCCTCTTCTTTCTGTTGATGGTTTCCTTTGCTGTGCAGGTGTTATATTACACAGTAGGGTAACTACAGCTAAAAAAATGCATAATATATTTCAAAATAGTAGAAAAGAAGATTTTGAATGTTCTTATCAAAAAGAAATGATAAATGTTTGAAATGGTGGACATGTTAATTATGCTGATTCGCTCATCATACAATATACCTATTGAAACATTACAGGACACTCCGCAAACATAAACATGTACAATTATGTGCTGATTTTTTGAAAAATTAAATATTTTGTCCTTCCCAATCATAAGTATCACAGAAAAGAATGAGTTTGCCAAAATATTTTTAGGCTGATCTTCACTGAATTATATTTGGCATTACATGAGATATTTTAATATCTATCATCAACATTAAGCTCAGAAATTAAACAAAATTATCAAAAATATGCAAATGCTGCCGGCGCCGCGGCTCACTAGGCTAATCCTCCGCCTAGCGGCGCCGGCACACCGGGTTCTAGTCCCGGTTGGGGCGCCGGATTCTGTCCCGGTTGCCCCTCTTCCAGGCCAGCCCTCTGCTGTGGCCTGGGAGTGCAGTGGAGGATGGCCCAGGTGCTTGGGCCCTGCACCCCATGGGAGACCAGGAAAAGCACCTGGCTCCTGGCTCCTGCCATCGGATCAGCGCGGTGCGCCGGCCGCATCGCGCTGGCCGCGGCGGCCATTGGAGGGTGAACCAACGGCAAAGGAAGACCTTTCTCTCTGTCTCTCTCTCTCTCACTGTCCACTCTGCCTGTCAAAAAAAAAAAAAAAAAAAAAGCAAATGCTATAAATGAAAGCCCAGGTTCTACCGGCAAAACAAGTGGAGAAAACAAAGAGGAAAGCCCACAAGGAAAAGTAAATAACTTTTCAGTATCTGGCATCTTTATTATTGGATTGGAACTACCCTAACTGCCGTCACTTCAGACATATTCACATACACTAAGAATTTCTTTTCAAGAATACTTCAGAACACTCATTTACAGTGTTCAATATCAAGCCATGTAGACCATTTTATTTTTCAGAAAAAGATTTACTGAGCATTCAGAGGATAAATAAGGTTGATGAGCAATAATAGAAAAATTATTTTCCCAAAGATATTGAATTTGTGTTTTGTGTTACATTGTAAAAAATAATAATATGGGCCTGATGCTGTGGTGTAGCCAGTAAAGCCACTGCTTGCAGTGCCAGCATCCCATATGGGCGCCGGTTCTAGTCCCAGTTGCTCCACTTCTGATCCGGCTCTCTGTTATGGCCTGGGAAAGCAGAAGACGGCCCAAGTCTTTGGGCCCCTGCACCCCATGGGAAACCCAGAAGAAGTTCCTGGCTCCTGGCTTCGGATTGGCACAGCTCCGGCTGTTGTGGCCATCTGGGGAGTGAACCAGCAGATGGAGGACTTCCCTCTCTCTCTCTGCCTCACCTTCTCCCTCTGTGTAACTCTGACTTTAAGTAAATAAATAAATCTTTAAATAATAATAATACAATTACTCTTAACAATTAGGTATTTAAACTAAAAGTTACCATCCTCAACTTAGAGGTAGGAGATTCTGCTCCTGGCTTCAGGACATCACCCTGGTCAATTTACATAGTCTCCTGAACCTCAACTTTCCCATCTACTCACTAAGGTCAAATCCCACCCAAAAAACAAACTCTAAGGTCCCTCATCATGTTCATGTAGGGCATCCATCAACAATAGTTTGAAACGTGAGAACTTCAAGTCCCTAGAACATCACATATCCCTCTAATTATTTTTCATTTTAAAGTTGGCCATCGTTTATATCTCCACTGAATACTAATTCTACTTCTATATCCGTCCAGATAGAAATAGTAGCACTAGATTGTCTCTTTAAAAGTTCAAAATTATCCAAAAAAAGTCTTCAGTCTGAGAATCTAAATACTTCCTTCACTATCTTATTACATTGCTAAGAAATTATTTACTTACATTCTCTTGGCATGCAATCAACAACATGCTCTTCAAATTTTGGAAAATTCCATTTGGAATTCTAGCAAGCCTGGCTGTATTCCCATTCTGGCACAAACAGATCATGTGCTCAGCTCCCTTTCTGCCACTTCCTCTCAGCTGAGCCTCTCCCCCACAGAGTTCACGCCCAGCAGAGCATGAAAGGGAGGGAAGAGGTCGCTCTGCAGCCACACAGGAATTCCTGCCCAGCATAAACATGCACAACAATACCCTTTCACATTTCTTCTTTGGATTGAACAAGTGCACCAGAAGTTTTCAGTTCAAACAGATATATGCAAAACTCTGTAAAATATTTTCAAGGCATTAATAAGAGGAAAAATGTGAAAGATGGCTGAATCTAAAATTCCAAGTTCTTGGAATATCAGCCAAGTATAGGCCATTTAACAATCAGTGACCTCAAAGTTTCTCAATCAAGTGAATGTCTTTTTGTTTTCTTAAGACATTAAAATTTTAAGTTTTCAAACTGTCTAGACTTAATTTATCTATGCTTTAGGAAGAATGAGGGTAGATAATCATCTCTCCCTGTCTGAGGTTAAGTGGCCCCTTGGATTTCTTATTTATCTCCTAAAACTTGGAACAGACTCTGATTACAGTCTGAAGATCACAGAAAATGAATAGCGTGAAAATGAAAATTTTTAATTTAAAAATACAGTGCAAAGCTGCCGTCTATAAAAAATCACTCTCCAGCAGTATCTTCTCAAGTAAGAATATGCCCTGCTACTTCCCCAATTTAATTGTAAGAATATTGTATTTGTACATATGCTATACCTCGTCTTAATCTCACAAAAACAATGAGGTGCTGGTTAGAGTGACTATAACTGTCATTGGTAGGCTTTCAAACTAAGGTTTGGGGCTAGCGCCATGGCACAGTGAGTAAAGTCAACACCTACACTGCTGACAGCCCATTTGGGCAGTGGTTTGAGTCCCAGCTCCTCCATTTTTGATACAGCTGCCTGGGAAGTGGAGCAGAAGATGGTCCAAGTGCTTAGACCCCTGTACCCACAGGGGAGACCCGGATGAAGCTAGCTCCTGGCTCCTGGTTTCAGCCTGGCCCAACCCCAGGTATTGTGGCCATCTGTGGAGTGAACCATTGGATGGATGATTCTGATTCTCATTCTCTCTCTTTCTTCTCTCCTCCCACCCTTTGCTTCTCCCTAACTTTGACTTTGAAATAAATAGGAGCCAGCGCTACGGCATAGTGGGTAAAGCCACTGTCTGCAGTGCCGGCATCCCATATGGGCACCGGTTCAAGTCCCAGCTACTCCACTTCCAGTCCAGCTCTCTGCTATGGCCTGGGAAAGCAATACAAGATGGCCCAAGTCCTTGGGCCCCTGCACCCGTGTGGGAAGACCTGGAGGAAGCTCCTGGCTCCTGGCCTCAGATTGACACAGCTCCGGCCATTGCCGCCAATTGGGGAGTGAGCCAGTAGGTGGAAGACCTCTGTCTCTGTCTTTCCTTCTCTCTCTGTGTAACTCTTTCAAGTAAATAAATAAATAAATCCTTAAAAGAATAAACTAAGGTTTCAGGAGATTGAGAGCTTTGTTCAGAAAATGTTATTCTTATCACATGACTCCTCCAAAACCTATGTTCTTACTTCTGTCCTCTGAACACATGGGACAACATTACTCTAAAATTCCTTTCTTAAAATCGTTGTGCTTTCCGTCACTATAGATTAATTTATGTTTTCTAGAATCTTTTATTAATGGAAGAATCTATTATGCACTTTTTGTGTTTAGAATTTTTTTTTTTTTAAATTTGAGAGGCAGATAGACAGAGTGAGATCTTTCACCTGCCGTATCACTCCCCAAATGCCTACAACAGCTGTGGCTGGGCCAGGACAAAGCCAAGAGGCTGGGACTCAATCTGGCTTTTCCAGGTGGTGGCAGGAACCCAAGAACTCAAGCCTTCCCACGCTGCCTAGCAGTGTTCACATTAACAGGAAGCTGGAATCAGAAGCAGAGCTGGCACTCAAATGCTCTGATATGGCATGTGGATGTCCCGAAATGGATACTGAACTGTTGCGCCAAACACCTGGTATTTTGTCCACCTTTTTAACTCAGCATAATAAATATTTTGAGTCATTCATGTTGTTACTTGTACCAGTAGTTCATTTCTACTCATTGCTTAGTAGTATTTCATTGCATGGATATACTACAATTTGTTTATTCATTATTCAGCTGACGGACATTTGTATTACTTACAGCTTTGGTTATTATGAATCATGTTTCTTTGAACATTCACATACATGTCTTTGAGTGGACATATGTTTTTATTTTTTCTCTTGAGTAGAATCCTAGAAGAATGTTTACATCATATAGTAGGCATATATCTAACCTTTAAAGCATTTACCAATTGTTTTCCAAAGTGGCTGCACCATTTTACATTACAAACAGCAGTGTGTTTTTTTTTTTTAAGGTGACATCACAAGAGATATAACAACTGGGAAGGAGCTATAGACCCCAAAGAAGAGGCATGTTCCAAAGTCAGATGTACTCAAAAGTATCTCATCCACAGAAAATAATTCACACAAAACCAGATGTAAATGGGTAACAGTACAGACACTCCATCCTACAAAATGACTTATAGTTATGTTGCCCAAAATTCCATCACAAAGACATTTATTTAAATAGAATCAATATAAGGTAAACTCATATTTGGGAACTCTCACATGCAAAGAAAGGAGGTTCTTAAAAAGGCAGCAATAAAATTGATGCAAACAATCACAACAGCAGCTCACATGAGCACTACATACAAGTCCGGCACTATGCTAACTAAGGTCTGTAAGATTTATATGGAGCCACTTTAGTGATCACCATCTCTGTTTTGCAGGGACAAAGAGAAGTCAAGAATGTGGCCCTACATTTATAGAGCTTGTAAGAGGTGGATTCAGAAATCCTTGACTCCAGACAATGCTTTTTGTGGCTATGCAATGCTGCACCTGCAGGTTTCACAGGCCTTAAAGCCTACTTGGAAGATACCTTGCTGGAGCTGAAAACTGCTATCTCTTAAGCCACACTACTTCCTCTGCTTCTAATTTTTAGCAAAGAACTTTTTATTACTTATCTGTTTCCCCAAGCTCATTTTCTACTTGGAAAAAGAGGAGCTGATCAGTAAAAAGGAATAAAGTGGATACACTAGGTAGCTATCTTTTAGAGTAAACTGAAGCCAGGCATTATGGTTTTGAACATTAATTTGATCAGAATTAGGTTCACTTGAGTAATCATGGAGGCACCAATATTGTTTCCCAATGACCAACATGAAAGGGGAAAAAATAATCACCAAGTCAGTCATCAGTCCTACACCTACCCACGACTGCTAACCCAACTATACACCAGAGTATAAGAAACAAAACAAAAACAAAAACCCAAGTTCATGTCTGAAAAATCTGGTTGATATCACCATACATGTAGCTAGAAGCACTGTCGGCAACCTCCTTACTTCTCCAGCAGGAAAAATAAAACTATATTATGCAAAAGTCAAGTGTTTTGGGGGTCAGGGTAAAGAAGATGAAATGATAATGGGTAGAATTACTAAAAACTTAGGAAAAATTTTATCTGTTTAAGTGAAATAACTTTATTCTGGAAATACTAGGCAAGCAGTAGGTTTCATGGATGGATTACAGTTTGTTCCCTACTTCTCCCCTTCTATATTCTACAATACTTAATGGGCCTCATATTTAGGGAAAAGGCTAAAATTGAGACCTTTAGACTATCCCCAAAAGTCAGCTGATTTTTATTAGATCCATGGCCTCATACAGGAACAATCAGCAGACTCCTTGGCTTTACATAAACCTGGCCAGCTTTCCCAGCACTCTAAACCTATCAGGTTTACTAGCAACTCCATCTGTTTTCCATAGCTGGTATACTGTCCTCCTCACCCATGTTCCACATCCTGTCACCTAGATGACATCAGCAATGGTGCATCTCAGAGAAAGTGTAACTGGAAGGCATGCGCCAGAATATTAAAAAAAAAAAAAAAAAGACAAATTGATAAACTGGTCCATTCAAAGGTGTGACATAACCCTGAGAGGTGTGATCACTCATCATGATGCTTCTACCCTTCCTACCCAGTCAGGCCAGCTGAACACATGCTTTCTTCAAAAGAATTCAGGTTTTGGTGAGATCACGGAAGTAAAAAAAAGGATGAAAGGGTTTTTTTGTTGTTCGTTTTTTAAGTGAATAGCAGCTTTATGTAGAAAAAGTTAGGAAGATTTTGGCAAAGCAAAAAAAAGCTAAGAAGGGGCAATAATTGATTCACATTTCCTTTTTACAAAAATTTAAGCACTACCTTAGTTTACTTTAGTTTTCTTAGCCAGCCATTCTTTCCTGAAAATATAGTTCAACTTCAACATATGCTTTCCAATAATTTCGAATTCTGAATTAATAAATTTCAGCAATTTGTGATTTCATCTTAATTACTCCCATATGAAGGTTGATGGACTGAAGAACAAAGTCACAGGACAATAGCTGTTGGGCCAGCAAATGGTAGGCATAAAAGCAAGACAACACACAGGAGTGTTTGTGCATGTGCTACATACGTAAATCACCAGATGAAGGGGCTCAACGACACAAAAGGGAAAAAAGCTTTATCACAGCCAATGTGTCGAAGCCTGCAGGTCCCACAATACCTACTAAGGAGGATAATTTTATTCTGGTTATCTCAAGTTGAAGTCAACTTTGAAAGATGTCTGATGATAAGTAATGCAAATACCAAATTCTAGTTGTTTTTGTGGTTTATTGTGAGGAGCCAACAGATTTCTTTAACTTTGGGCAGCACCCACAGAGCCATTTGGATGCACTTTGATGTCTGTCACCATGTAGCAGCCATGTGTAACTTGTCAATATTTGATAACAGATATCAGCGAAATGATTAGTTTGGTACTTTTAAAGAAACTGCAGATTCACGGAACCTTCATGCTGTACACAATCACTCAGATGACCTAATCAGTCCTCTTCTCACAGATGAAGGAATTGAGACTTTAAAAAGGAGAAATTAAGCAGTATGCACTAAGTGGAAAGAACATGAATGAAATCTCTTCTTCAAAAGCAGAGAATTAAAAGCAAATCAAAGAATCAACACCTTTTAAACAGAGAGATACTCTTTTGCTTCATTTTTACACAAAAATCCATAAATTATATCCTCTCCCTCTTACAGAGCAGAGCTCTCATCATGTCAGATTAGGTATTTTCTCAGATATACTCTCATTCTTTCAGACAAACATACTACTTTACTGTTCTATTCTTTTACCTTCAATTCTAAACCCCATCATCTAATTGGAGTCTTATCATAATGAATCAATGCTGAAGCCCAGCAAGTTAAGCATGTTTATTAATTCTCACTTTACAGAAAAAAATACCAAGTAGCATAATCTAAATGTAAAGTGATCTTTCTTTTAGAAATAAGAAAATGAGAGGTGGATACTTTGGAATTTTCCCTCCAAGACCCTCAAAAGAAGGGAATACTAGCTCTCCACAAAAAAAAAATGCACAATAGGCTACATTTCAGAACCAAGGAAATTTGGAATAAATATTTTAGAGACAATCTAATAACTGTCCTGAGGAATTCCAATGATATTTCAACACTCTTACTTAAGCAAGAGGGAAAGGGATAGTATCATGCACAATCTAGACCCACACTGTATATCTCCATGTGTAATCCAGAGTCAGCTTGTGTATCTAGGAGCATGAGATTACTAATATCTCATTCGATAAAGAAAAAATTTTAAATCCCGTGTGATTCAATGACTTTTATAGGTCAGTCTGACAACAGGCAATTTCGATTTATAGACTGCTCTGCAAAGCTATTGGGTCACTGTATACTAGAAAGTAGGGCTGATACAAGCTAAGTATTTTTTCCAGTGGTAATTAATACAATGACTTATGGTTAGTAATTTTTGATGATCCAGAACTTGATTCAACAATTATTCTAACAAAACTATTTCTAATCTGCAAAGCTCTTGACACCTACTACCATGCAAAATGGGAGATCCCAGAATGTCCAGCTTAAAACATCTGTCAGCTATTAACCACAATGAGAAAATTCTGAGTTATGTGCAAAATAGATTGATTTATTCATTCACATTCTCTACCTCATTCCCTCTCTCACTTTGCCTCATTTCTTCATCTCCCCACCCCAGTGGTACACAGCAAGGACTGGAAAACACTTTCTACAACAGGCCAAACAATCAAGAAATTACCTTTGGCAGGCTCTGCTTTTATGACTCAAAAAGAGCCATAGGCAACTCAGAAAAAATGTCTATGGCTATATTCCAATAAAACTTTATTTATAAAAACAGGCACTGGGCCAGATTTCTGATACAGAACAGAAATTATCAAACTTTGGCTTGCAATAGAATCACCAATAAGGTTTATTAGTAGATCTCTGGACCTCATCCTTAAAGTTTCTGATTCAGTAGGTCTGCAGTAGGGCCTGAGAGTTTACATTTTTATTAAGTTCTCAAGTGATATGGATGCTGTTGGTCCAGGGACAACATTTTGAGAACCACAGGTATAGAATAATGTTCTATACCGAGTTTATGGAAGGCTGAAATGTAATGAACAATGAAGAAAGTAGAAACCACATACTGCAAACTTGATTGCTAAATTTATAGACTATGTCACATGAAGACTTACTGTTAAGTGCCATAATATTATCTGTTCCTGGATGATGGAAATTTATTCCCATACGTCCTAAAAAATAAAATTATTTTATTTTAAGCACAAAGAAAAAACTTCAGTAATCATTTCAAAAACACTGAAAAATAAGAACATTACAAAAAGCTAAAACAAATTAATCTATAACAATACTATCAAAGGCCAAAGCAGTTACAACAATTCTTAAATCAAGTCATAAAACATACACATGAAAAGTCTTAAAACAAAGCCAAAGTCTCAACAACAAATAAAATATAACAAAACAAAAAAAGAAGCTTTTATTACAATATTCTAAAGTTTTAATACATCTTCCAAATTCTGATTTAAACATGCCAACTCTGCATTAAACAGCCAAAAAAAAAAATCGAAGTAGTATATAAACTTAAATGAGAGAATAAAAAAACAGGTTTCACGGAACTTCAAAAAATGTAACATAATTATAAGTAGCAACTAGAAGACGGTAAAATTTATATAACATCTACAGTTGGGGGAAAATGACTGGCTTAAAAATCTAGGGTTCTCATGCCGTCCCTACCATTAACTAGTTATACGACATTGGGCATAATGATATTCTCTAGACCTTCATCCTTACATCTATAATTAAGAGTTGCAAACCTTAGCCTATCCAAGTCAGCTCTTGTTTTTATAGATCTCTGAGCTAAGAATCATTTTTACATGTTTAAAAGGCTGTAAAACAATACAAAACAAAAACTAATATGCAACACAGGCCATGTGGCCCATAAATCCTTACATGTTTCCTTTAAAAAAAAAAAAAAAAAGGGCCGGCACTGTGGCAGCGAATTAACACCCTGGCCTGAAGCGCCAGCATCCCATATGGGCACCAGTTCTAGTCCAGGCTGCTTCTCTTATGATCCAGCTCTCTGCTATGGCCTGGGAAAGCAGTAGAAGATGGCCCAAGTCCTTGGGCCCCTGTACCCATGTGGGAGACCCAGAAGAAGCTCCTGGCTCCTGGCTTCAGATTGGCACAGCTCTGGCCATTGCAACCAATTGGAATGGAAGACCTCTTTCTCTCTCTCTCTGCCTCTCTTCTCTCTGTGTAACTCTCTGACTTCGAATAAATAAATAAAATCTTTTAAGAAAAAAAAAGAATGGTCTTCAAATTTCCCCATACTATTTTAAAATGTTTATTTATTTTATTTATTTACTTTTTAAATTTCATTTGAAAGAGAGGGAGAGACAGATGGAGTGAGATCTCCCATCTTACTGATCCACTCCTTAAATGCCTCCAACAGCTGAAGCTGGGCTAGGACAAAGTCAGGAGCCTGGAACTCAATCCGGATCTCTCACTCGGCTGGCAGGAATCCAAGTACTTGATCATCATCTGCTGCTTTCAACAGTGCACACCAGCAGGAAACTGTATAAGAAGCACAGTAGCTGGAACTCAAACTAGATACTCTATTTTGGGAAAATATGCAGGCATCCCAAGCAATAAGTTAAATGCTGCACAAATACCCACCCTTAAAATATTTACTCTTCAACCCTTCACAAAGTTTGCCAACCCCTAGTATATAAGATGACATATAAGAATCAGATCCTTGATGGCTCCCAGGAGTAAAAGTAGAAGATGCAAATGTTTGGTAAGATCTTTTCATGCATTATTTATTTGGGATAAGAGGTGGGTCTATCAGCAGAAAAATTAAACACAGAGAGTCTTATATGAGAAAAAATGACTTAGTATACATTTGATGAATTCCTTTAACAAAATAGTTATTGAAAGAATGATTTTGTGTAAAGTTAGTTTCTATAAACTCAACTCTGCAAGATTTGAAAATGTTTATTTTATTTCACTGTCATTGTTTAAATAAAAGTCAACACTATTTTGGAGAAGAGTGGTACAGAGAAAACTGGAGATAAGGTAAAAGTGATGATTGACTTTTATGACAAACACTATTTTACATTGCAAAAGGGTCAAACATGGTATTAAACTCTCGTATGGGAGACTGGAGGAAAAAAACATCATCAAGCTCTTCTGGTACAAAAGGAGAGCATCACAGTGCACAAAACAGCATTTGCCTCAAATTAAAATGGGGAATCGTGAATTCCTAGATAAATCCAATTTTTACCTAGATAAGGCCATCCTAAAGAGCTTCAGGTCATGATAATTTGTGAAAGATCATTTATATCAACAGGCAGGGAAAAAACCCAAAACCCTCAAAAGTTTAATGTCACTTGTATTGATGTGTGTGTACACGTCTGTGTATTGTGTATTTAAAAACTGGAAAATCATCAGCAATTGATGGATTCTAAAGAAACTTCTAATTTTACCATGATGCACTATAGGATTTTCAAAAAATTTATGTTGGGTTTAATTATTTAAATATTTATTATTTATTTGAAATGCAGAGATACACAGAGAGAAGGGGAGAGGGAGAGGAAGGGGGAGAGGGAGGAGCCAGGGGCTTCCTCCAGGTCTCCCATGTGAGTGCAAGGGCCCAAGCACCTGGACCATATTTCACTGCTTTCCCAGCCACATTAGCAGGAAGCTGGATCAGAAGTAGAGCAGCCGAGATTCAAACTGACACCCATATGGGATGTTAGTGCTTCAGGAAGAGGCTTAACCTTCTACATGCCACAGCACTAGCCCCTTGCTTTTATTATTTTTTTTTTTTAGGAGAAAGATACTGCATTTCTCTAGTCTCTTCCAGGTCTCCCACGTAGGTAGAAGGGACAAGCACTTGGGCATCTTCTACTGCTTTCCCAGGCACAACAGCAGGCAGATGGACTGGAAGTAGAGCAACCAGGACTTGAACTTGTACCCGCCTAGGATGCCAGCATCCCAGGCAATGGGTTTACCATCTATGCCACAATGCTGTTCCCTACAGTAATTCTTTTACAGAATATATTATAATGCTTTCTGTAGAAAAACCATCATATTGTCAGAGAATCATCATCTGAATACTAGAATTGCCTACTTTATTTTTTGTAGGTTTCAAATATTTTTCATGTCAACTGGAAGCTAATAACTGTTGGTGTCAAAAACTAACTTGTTAAAAGACAAATTTAATTGATCTTCATATGTAGCTGTTCTATGTGCCTTAGTTTTTCTAGTTTCTAAGTCATTTAAGAGTCCCCTGGAAACTACAATCTACACCACATATGCATTGGCTGCTAACTCCTAGCACCACCTTGATCAGAATCTATTTTAGGAACATTTGTCACCAGAACAAGGCTTTGACTCAGTATGGAGGATTTACATTCATTTTGGTTTCAATTAGCTTTATCAATGTTCTCTGTTTCACTGTTTTCAGATAGCAAGATCTTACCTGAATTCATTATCACCACATACTAGCATCTATGAAAACTGTATGTGATTTACCCTAAATTAGTTTTCATCATATTCTGGAAAATTCAGATTCACATAAAAAGAGTCCATTAAATCTTAAACCAAGGAATACTCAGAGAAGGGTACGGTTCCTAATAAGCAGGTAATGTTCCCTACGTATTTCTAGAGTAATAAAGGGTTACCAAAAAAAATCAGGTCAGCCCAAAATTAGCTGAACCTCATTTGACTTTTTAAATTTCCTATGTCTATCATTTATGGTAAAGAATTATATGGTTTAAAACCACCACATCAAATAATAGTCTTTGTATGTTTTGGAACCACTTATCTTCCCAAACTTAAGGGGTGACTTTTATCCTCCAAAAGCTGAACATATATACACAGATCTTTGTAGACCCTTTTCATGAGCTGTTAGAACTTTCCCACTTAGAAAGATAGAACTGAAAGGGAGCTTGGTCATTTTCTAATTATTATTGTCTATTCTATGCTGATAACCTCAACACAAATCTTCCTTAACATGCAGGAAGGGGCCAGCGCTGTGGCTCAGTGTGTTAAAAGTTGTAGCCTGCAGTGCCAGCATCCTCTATGAGTGACGGTTCAAGTCCCAGCTGCTCCACTTCTGATCCAGCTCTCTGCTAATATGCCTGGGAAAGCAGCAAAGATGGCAGAAGTCCTTGGGCCCTTGCACCCATGTGGAAGACCCAGGGGAAGTTCCTGACTCCTGAATTTGGCCTGGCCAAGCCCCGGTTGTTGCAGCCATGTGGAAAGTAACCCAGTAGATGGAAGATCTCTGTCTCTCCTTCTCTCTCTAACTCTGCCTCTCAAATAAATAAACTTTAAAAAAATGTAGCAAACATTAGGCAGTATTTTACAAACTAAAGGTAGCACAATTTGCTAAAAAAGCAGAAAATTTTATTTTTCCTGGTATTTTCTCTGTTTGCTACTTTGACATCAATGGATCTCAGAATGAAAGGTATCAACAAAATTTTACAGAAATGCTAGGTCAATACCAGACCTGTAGGACAAACTGTCTTAATATAATCTAATTCCTTAACTAAATGCAATTTTTTAAAAGTAAAATAATGTATGGCTTCTTTAAGCTGATTTCTTTACTTCTTCAAAGATGAATGTTTACACACCATAAAATACAATGTATCTTCATTGGAGAAAAATTAAACAGTATAAGAAAATGAAGAAAAGGAAGATCACCAAAGATAAACAGAGTTAACATTTTGATTTAGTCTTTCAATTTAGGGAATATGTATGTGTAAAGGTTTCTTTACTCTAACTGGAATGATTATTTAAGATATTGTGTCTTAAGTTTTATAGTTACTAAGTGATTCTGGAAGAGAGAGAAAATATATAATAGCAAATGAAAAACTGATTCCAAATTCAGGTAAGGCTATTTTTCTTCCTTTTATCCATCAATACTGCTGTTTAATCAGCTGTGAAAACAGAATCAAGTGTGTGACATCTGGTGATTTTTGTTAATATAGTCTTGTGCTGCTAGTGGGACATTTTGTCACCTGCCCATGAGCTGCTATTTTAAATTGTTCTTGTCAGCTAGCTATCTTTTAAGTATAGTGTAAAATATAAGGTTTCAGAAACTGGAAGGCACACTTGGTTTTACTGAGTTAAATGATGCTGTGGAAATCTGAGACAGTGTCCCACTTTCCCCGCTGCACATGACTTGATAAATAAGGGTAAGAAGGGACAGAGAGAGATTAGAGAACAG